ACTCAAAACCTGTTCAGAGATGAGACACCACAGCTTCAGGTGGTGAAATCAAACCTTCACAACAACAACAACAATAAAAAAAACCAAGATGATTTTGTGCTCAGCCGGTGACGTGTTAGTTATCTGCCTTCATCAACTGCCTAACGTGCTGCACTGCCACACATCAGCCACTGTCGTTTGATTTTCAGAGGAATCCGAGGGGGAATAATTGCGCTTATTCGTCTTGCCATCGCTGCTTCATTTAGTCTGCTGCCTCTGTGAAGGTTTTACATGTTTAGTGTGACGGCAAGACTAAAGCACGCAGCAGTGATCATCATCTATGGGCTGTTAAACATGTTTTTGAAGACAGTTTTAAGCAATAATGTTGCCCGGCTGAACTGCACGTTTTCATTTGTTTCCTTAGTAAAAAGCGTGCCGTTTTTCTTGTCTTGATCACTACAGCTGGATTAACTTACAAAGAAAAAAGTCACTGGGTACCTTTTAATAGTCGTGATACAGGACTGTTTTATTATTATTCAAGATAGCCAGAAATCAATCCTTTCTCTGAACCTCAAATAATGGCAAATCAACTGAATAGCTAATTTTAGTTACTGAAAGGTGTAATTAATATTTTAAAGCAAAATGTTACCAGTAACATCTGTCCATTCATTGATACGGTCAGCTTCAAATTTGGCAAAAGTGTTGCTGATTACCTGAGTAACTGCAGTGCCAAATTTGAGATAATTTAGATGAACCTTTTTCATACTTTGGCTAAAAATTATTCTCCCCTTACTAAAAAAAATCGTCTTCTTCCAGATTTCTCAGAGTTGGACACCAGCAAGTCCAACTCTGAATGGCAGTCTCACCAGTGTGAGACCTTGCTGCAAAATGATGGGTGACACACCTCCCCCTTGTCCCCTGCTTCCTCCATGGAAGGAGTGCCAGTGGGATTAATGAGACGCTCCATTTGGAATCAGTGTCTCAAGCCTTCCTCTGAATGCTGTTGGAGTTCTGCTTGAAGGTGGAAATTGAAGATCTCCCACTCACGTTCCTCCAGGTCTCTCTGTCATTGCATTGAAGTTATCCAGCACGACAATGGAGTTGCAGATGAGGCATCCTCTAGCACAACAACCAGGAACTCCAAGAAGACTGGGTGCTCCTGACTGCTGCTTTGCAAACAAGTGCAAACAACAGTCAGGACTTGTTACCAAATCTAAAGAAGCAACCTTATCATTCACCAAGAAAAACGTAAACATACTGGCAGCGAACCAAGGGGATAGTAGGAGACCCACCCCAGCCTCCTCTCATCGAGGCCACCTCCAGCTTTTTCCAGGACACTGTTTCAGAGCCCGAGCTGTGTGTTGAGGTAAGTCTGAGTATATCTACCTGGTATCAGTCAACGTACCAGTTTGGGCTGCTTCCCTGCCAGAGCGGTGAAGTTTCACATACCAGTAGCTAACCTCAGCAGCTGGGGGTCGGACCTCCAGGGTGTCCCGTCACCCTACACACATCACACTCAAACCCTATAGCGCCACCTGCAGGCAGTGAGCTCCAAGGAAGTATTTTTACTTTCTTTTTTTGTGACATTTCCACATCAAAACCTTTAATTATATTATTATAATACTTTATCACTATCACCAGCAAAAATACTTTAATGCCAAACTTTCTTTGGTATGAGTTTGTGTGCCATTACACTAATCTACCGTCTCTTTGAGACTGCCTCTGAGGAGTTGCAGGGTGACCACTTTCATATCATTTATTACAGTAAATCGACTCCCCTCCATTAAAGGAGAAAGCTCTGAAATGAAAGGTGGCCCACTGGAGCGTGACAATCATCTCCTTTTTTAAATACACGGGCGATAAACATCCGTCTCCAAGCTAAAAGCACAGCCTTTTATGTTTTCTCAAGACATAATCAAAGGAGAAAGATGATTATAGTAATAGAAGACGGGAAGCAGAGCTTGTTTCATGCTGCCCAGCAGAAAAAACTGCCATCACAGGAAAAGATGTTTGCTCTGCATGTGGTTTTGTTGACTGCTGGTGCTTTAACAGGGATAGTTTAGGGCTGTTCATCGGGTGGGGGGTCCTTCCCTTTTTATGAACTAGCTTTTCATTGGTTTATGATGGAAAACAAAAGGCAGGCATCAGGTGAGAGTTAAAAATGAGATAAATTACTGGAGTATAATGGCGTGAGGCTGTCAGACAAACACAAGTATGGTATCTAAATGTAGGCACAAAGGAGCAGCTGATATCTCACATGGCAAAATGAGCCCTAAAAGTTTACCCAGAATGCACTTTTTCAAGCTTCGTCCAATGAATTATCAGGAAGAAGTTTAAACATTGATGCTTGTTTCTATTAGGTCCAGGTCAAACATTAACCTGGAACATTTTTCAGAATCTATGATCATTGCCATCACAATGAATGCTGGTTACAGAAAAATCATGGTGAACAAAAAAAGCAGATTTTGGCTCTAGACTGTGCCTCTGAAGTGGGTGTAAAATTGTTCTTCAGGCCTGAAAATTTCCTTCCTTTCTAATCTGCCTTTAAGAAAGCAGATGATTGTTTAACACCCTCCAGATACAGAAGCACTGATCTTCAAGCCCCAGCCGAGGATGTGCTCCTACATCTGCACTGAGGAGCATGCAAAGTTGTACTGTGTAAGAATCATACAGCTGCACAAATTTCCATTCTTATCACTTGTACACGTCGCTCGGAGGTGCCGTTGCTATTGTGAATCCATCTATTGCACTGCAAACAGCGATAAGGTGCGGTCAGCCGGATTCCCGAGCCCTCCTTGTACTCACAGAGCAGCATTAATGATAACACTGCGAGATAAAAGCCGGGACGTACACGAGCATTCATGCAGAAATTTTCTTATTAAAGAACTGTCGACACCACAGTGCAGCGAGCTCGCCCTTTGAATTGGGATCCACATTTCCAAAGACAGGAACTTATTGAGTTTGGTCATCAGCTGTAGAGAGAGAGAGAGAGAGGGAGTAACAACACCACCCGCCCGCATGCATGCACGCCTCCAATTTCCACTGGGTATTAAAATGAAGGACACCTCAGGGAGAGCGACCTTTAGTGCCCGCGCTCTCACTAGTAGATAGGCATGTAAACACTGCGGGGTTTTTGTGGGATTTTCTGTGCGTTCCTGCTAACTTCAAGTCTGAATAGCCTCTACTGAACACGGTCAAAGCAGAGTGTCAGCTTGCTTTTTAAATGACATTGAAACCTTCATAACAAGGTTGCACATTCTTTATTCCGAATAATGTGAGCCGAACAAAAGCGATGCAAATGCACAACTCTGAAAAGAAAGCAGCTGCAAAACATGTTGAATAAGGGGGAGAGAATCCAAGCCGCCATGTCCAACCAGCACCTGAAACCGCAGATCACAGATACTGTGGGTCTCTACGTCACTGAACTTCAAACACTGAAACCACAAGCTGGATATAAACGATGGACTGTGGCTGCACTGCATAATGTTTTTTTTTATTTTTAAACTATCACTCACATAAAACTTTATTAGGGACACCTGCTCATTTCTAACACCACACCAATTTCTAATAAGCCAATCACGTGGCAGCAAGTTAACGTGTTTAGGTATGTAGACATGATCAGAATGACCAGTTTTGAGCTGGTAGGAAGGCAACGGCAACTCAAATAACTACTTATTACATTCAGGGTGTGCAGAAGAGTTTCTTTGATTGAGGATGTTTTCTCAGCACACGTTGTCTCTTAGCACCTGCTGAGCATTGTTTAAACACCACAGCCTCCTTGAGTGTTGCTACTGACCGTGTCCATCCCTTCATGACTACATTGTTCCCATCTTCTGATGGCTGCTTCCAGCATGATAACACACCTCAGATCATCTTAAACTGGTTTCTTGAACATGGTGTAACAGGAGAGTCACATCATGGATTTGCAGTAACTGTGTGATGTTATCATGTCAACATAGATCAAAATCTTAGAAATGTTTCCAGCACCTTGTTGAATCTGTGCCATGTAAGTCTCAGGATCATGTTATCATCCATTGGGTAAATGATGACTGAGTGGATGAGTGGACTCCTTTCTCCGGTTTTGTTAAGATAAACATGATCGTTCAGATTCTTTGGTCTCGTCAGTCCACTGGATTAAATTGGTGGTCATTATAAACTCAGGATGAACATACTCCGAGTTCATTGAGCTAACTCTGATCAGCTTTTCTAGAACTAAAACAGTTGGTTTAACCTGTTCTAGCCTACAGCGCCCTGTTCACCCTCTTGTGTTTTTAGACTCCAGTGCTGATCACTTCCTGTTCCCTCTTCCCTTTTTCCACTTCGCTCCAGCTCTTTCCTTATTTCCCCTCCAAGTCCATAAAACTCTTCTTTCTTTCACACGACCTCAATTACTTACAGGCCAGCACACTGCTAGCAGTGTATCTGCAGGGAGCTGATATCGTCCGAAGCGTCAGATCTGGCGGTTTATCTGTCAGGCTCTGTTGGATTATAATTCGCAGGATATGAGGTGCAGAAAAGTCTGATCTCACACAAAGGACACAGCTGTCTGTGTATGCAAAACATCTCCCTCTCACATGAAAATGGCACAGTTTATATCCATGAAAGCTGCCCCGCAGCTAAGTATTTCATCCTCTAATGATAGTCGTAGTGTGGCGAGGGCCCTGTCCTCGCTGACCTCAGATCAGTTTGATTTCAGCTGACGGCGGTGGCGCCTGGAGAGCTGTCTTTCTCCTGTCTTTGCATAAAGAGGGGAGCCTTAAAACATGCCAGAAATACAAACTGTTTCTTTGGCGTCACTTCAAAACGGCCTTTTGTTTACAAGATTTCCTCCGGCTGAGGAAATATAACTGCCTAAGCGCCCACCAACACAAACACGCTAATCCTGCCTGGAGACACGGGGAACAGTTGTGCGCTCTGAATTCTTAGTTTATATATTTGAGTTTGGGATTCTATTAAAGTTTTACTGTAAAGCTCCACATAACCACGCAGATCCAATCCGCTACACCAAGGTCATGACCTACCGTCCTCCTTCACCAGGACCTCCTTCTGGCACATGTCCTGCACGTTCACGGTGCAGTTGACGATGAACTCTGGCGTGGAGCAGTCGTGCGTCATCTCACACTGGTAACACTGGATCTGCAGAGCCAGCCCTGAAACACACACAGAAACCCCGTCATTCACGATAACTCACCCCAACAAGGTCCTCGACACTGTTTTTTCCTCCAGCTTTATCATGAAAGTTTCACCTCAAAGTGGAGTCGAGTTTTACTTTGTTAAATATTCTGCCTTTGACTCGCGCTGTTTCAAATCTGTGTGACAGATAATGCTCAATTATTTATCTGCCTTGCTGCTGGTACGTTTATCTTAGCAGCACATTTCATCATGTCTCCCTTTGATAGCTCATATTTGTCCATTTCCACAGTGAAGCTGACTTGTTTACGCCGAGTGTCCTTCAGGGGGCTTATTTACTGGGAGCGAAGGATAAACAGATTTCCGGCAGAAATCCAGTGCAGGTCACGAGCACGCTGACCTGAATCTATTTTTCATAACTGAGAAGATATATTTTTAACAGAGCGAGTCACACGCTGGAGACGGGGATCAGTCACACAGCACCTTTCAAGTCTTACACATCACTAAAACACCACACCTCAGGATTATTAACATATGGGAAAAGTGTATAGGCTACACATAGATCCTCATGTCTCTGTGGCTGACTGACTCATGGATCATCTCCCTGCTCGTTTCTCAGGCTCCTCTCATGTTGTGTTTTAACTACAGGTTATTTTTTAAAAAAAAATTCTATAAAAAGAAGAGTCATGGTTTTGGATAATTTCATGTTTTTGTCTTTTTCTATCAGTTTCATCTCCTCTCTTTGGTGATTTTCAATTTCAGCTCAGTTTTATTTATACAGCGCCAAATCGCAACGAAAGATGCCTCAAGGGGCTTTGTATTGTAAAGTTGCTACAATAACGCAGAGAAACCCCCAACAATCACACAACCCTTTTTAAGCAACCACTTAGCGACAGTGGGAAGGAAAAACTCCCTTTTTCCAAGGACAAAAGCTCTGGCAGATGCAGGCTCAGGGAGGGGCGGCCACCTGCTGCAGTCAGGGGTGACCAAGAAAATTTATGAACGTTGAAAAACAAATAGTTACAAGTAGGGGAAAACTTTCATTTCATAGAGTTAAAACGCTTTTTAGAGTTTATATGATCAGACTTTGATGGATGTGTTTGATACTTTGAGTCTACAAGCTGTGATTAAGCTGTATTTCTAATGTAATACCTGTTCCTGCATCTCCAATAAACTTCATTGGATGAGCTGTATCACCACACTGTCTTAACCCTTGTATGGTGTTCGGGTCTGTGAGACCCGTGTTCAGTTTTTTTCAAAAGAAAAATTAAACAATTAATTATTTTTTCACGTGTAAATGTGTTGTGTCTTTCCACTCACTCCACTTGATTATAACTGATTTATTTATAACATTTTATATAAAAGAAAAACGAGAAGCACATTAATTCATAAATGTGATCTAACAAAGGTAAAGGGAAAAAATTAACCATGTTTGCTGTTCATATGTCTTGTAATTGGGATGAAGTAAACATCTGTTGAGTAATTTAACATAAAATTGTTTGATAGTGTTAATTTGGAAAGCCAAAACTCTAGCGGGTCCACCAGACCCATGAACACTGGCTGAGTAACAAAAATACGAACACCACACAAGGGTTAAGAAAAGCCCGGTCTTTTGTTGATAACCATGAACAGCCTCCTTTAATCTTGAATTACTGCTCTCAGGATGAGGTTATAGGACGCCTCTAGCTATCATAAAGGTGTATAAAGGGTCATTTGTGCCCCCCAAAAAATCAGTATACTGAATAATAACATGGTGGGATGTATTTCTATAGTTGTATAGTTCTATAAATGCATAAGTATGAATGTGGGCTGACACCCATTATTTTGTTTTTATCATAAATTCACTGATTTGTGCCTTTTCTCATTAATGAGACAATAAAGTTATTCTACTCTATTCTATTTTCCTTCTATTGTGCCTCCAGCACATGCGTTCCTTACAATATAAACTACAGATTTTAAAACATTAAAAACTAAACTGAAACAAGCAAACCTACTGAAAATGAATTAAAAAACATAAAAATTAAACAAAACACAACTAGAAAACACCCAAAGCAATAAGAGCTGTGTTGCCTGTTCCACATCTGGACTGTTTGCCACGCTGCCTGTTTCTCAATAAAAGTGTGTCTCCTACATTTGGATCTTCTCGGACAGCCACACTTTGATCCTGCCTGTTCGAAGATGGCATCCTAATAACCCTGATCACCGGCTGGACTGGATGTTCAGAGGAGCACCGCCGTAATACGAAATCCACTCCTGGAGTGGAGATTCATGTTGCAGCAGCAGCGCAGGTTTAGATAAACTACCTCTTTAATGAGAATGATTTGATACTAGAAATATTCTGAAATGTAAAAGTACTCACTTCTCTTTTATTTTATTTGGCTGTTGTGCAAATATCCATGCATGTGAACATTTACAGGTATAAATACATATGTATGTAATGTGTGGGTACACATGCTTCCATATACAAGTCTTGCTCGGCATTTTTAAGTGCACATGCATTTGTCCCTACACAATAAAAGCATGAAAGACCACCACGACATCACTAGTCTAGGTCTTTTCTTCTTCAGCAGTTTTAATCTCAGAATGTCAATTATGAGTTACAGGATTTTTTTGTATCAGGCAGCAGCTGCACCCCTTTAGTGCTGTGGACATGGAGGTGGGGTAGTAACCATGAAGGATCCTTTTCTTCTTAAAAAGTCTAAAAACCAGGTGACTTATTGTGCACTTTTTATTTTAGAAAGGCTGCTGATGTTGCTGACTAACCCTAAGGAAAAGCTGCCTCTCCTCCTCGTTTTAGATAAAAAACACGACAATGTACAATGTATTATCCTGTTCTGAATCAACCTCTCGGGCACCTCTGGATCATTTTCAGCAAGTGTTTTTCTGTCTTCTTGTACTTCTACTCGAACTATACTGGGTGCTGGTGCTTCTTCAGTGTGTCAGAACAGTGATCCTCAAGCTTACTTTTCATTTTCTGAAAGTGGAAGAGTCCAGGTGGCGAGCAAACACTGTGTTTTTCAAATCCTGTGTTTTCAACGTGGCTCCACAGTGCACGTGGTTTCCTTCTCTGTGCGACACCTCGGGTTTTCACTGTAAAACTGTGCGATGACAGTCTGACCCCGGGGGATGGATTCACGGTGCACAAACCCATGAATGCAGGAAAAATGATGAGCCTGCTCCTGGTCTTGCTCCTCGCTGCCTTCAGGCATGGAAAGCGTGCACTGTAGATCCAGCTCTCATCACCTCCACATGAAATTCAGGTCAGTTTGAAACAAAGGCTGATGTTTGCACTCGATGTTGCTGGACCAACATTCAGTATGGTGTATTGGAAAAAATGTGATGCATCATTAATCCTGTAAAATAGTTATTATGCTACCTCTGTCTGTCTAATAGACAACACATCCTAATACTATTCATAGTAATATGCTATTTAAACATTTCCTCTTATTTTCAAACCACTAAGATATGAAACTCCAAAAGAAAAACTGATTACTATGTTCTGGCTTTTTGGTGGGGATTGCACAAGCGGTGCAGCACAGTAAGATCGGTGCTAGTGTACTCCAGCACGTTTACTGAAGGACTGCACTGAAGCACAGCTTAAATGTAGTCTGTTTAAATGTGCTTTGTTTAAAAATGAACTGAAACTAGCAGAAAAATATGAAGAAACAGCAGCTGTAGTGTGATGTCCATGATGTGCTCCAGAGATGTTTGTATGATTTTGAAAAAAGGCCAGGCTGTACTCTCCAGTAATACCACTATCAGCCACAAGGTGGTGCAGTGTGTCAGAGTCAAAACTGCACAGCGTTACTTTTTATTAACTAAACTTCTGGACAGAATTCAGGGTATTTTTATGCATAGCCTTATTTTGGTAGCATAAAACAGAAATTGTCTCTTTAAATTAGCAATACATAAATATTTTTAAGAAGAATTTAATGATGGTTGGGATGAACAACTTCATCACAATCACTTTTTTATCCAATTGTGTTTTCTTTTTTTTCCTTTTGATCTATTTTGTTTTATTGTTTCCCATTTGTGATCTGTTCTTTTGTGTAATTTTGTAATTTTTTTTAACTTATTAAATACATTTGTTTTCTATATACATGTTATTTAACTACACTTTATTTAAACAAATTTGTTAAAACTTGCTAGAGAAGGTAAACATTAAGTTAAACATAGCAAACATATTTTAGGGTATTTTTGGCAAAATAAGATGTAGAACTCAATAAAATAAAATGCAATATGAAAAAAAATCTTAAGAAGGTAAAAATTAATCTGAAATCAAAATAAGTCAAAATAATCAAATAAAATCTAAATAAAAATAAAAACTTTTAAGTAATTTGATACATAACTATCTGTTTAAGTTCTATTGAATGAGCTGTAAGGCATAGATATTCAGATTACAGCAGTACAATGTGTAATCTTGAAAAAAAAACTATAGTTTTTTTTTAACCTTGCACTGAATTTACTAAAATGTACTATTTATGGAGATGTGTATAAAAATAAATACATGAATAAAAAACAATGTTCTGACAGAAAATTACAAGAACATTTTCTGTTTTAACATTTTTCTAAAATGTAACTTATCTTTAAAATGCTGCCACCTCGTGGCAAAGGCTTTCATTACATTTGTGTTGAAGTTTTTTACTAAAAGTACCTTTAACAACTTCTTTGCTGGACAACTTGATCATAACTGTACTGCACATTGTACTCCGTTCATTTATTTTATTTTATTATTTACTTTTTGTTTATTTAGTAATTTGCATGTTTTAAATATGAATATATATGATGCTGAGTTTTATAGTTTAAACCAAATCCTGTCCACTTAAAACATTAAAGTGATATACACATTAATGAGCCAATAGTAATGTCACGTATGTACGACTGTACCTTTGTACATACTGAGTACTTTAAGCATATTCTAGGCAGAAACTTTTGTTCTATTAAACAGGACTGCGACTTTTACTTTAATACTTTTAAATGAGTTATTAAATTTTCAAAAATCGCTGTTTAAAGAGTCGTGCAGACATTTTGCACGTTATAAATCCGTATGAGAGCTGCACGTGCAGCTGAAAAACATCCTCTGTGTTTATTTCTGATGAAAATTTCTGTTTTTGCGTCTTTTTCTCTTCCTTTCCAGACCCTGGAGAGGCCCCTGGCTCTGCTCTCTCTCTCCGCCTAAACTTACCTGGATCGTTTCATGCGCACCGGAGCGCACAGTCCACGCGTGCAGACTGAGGCTCCTACAGTAATAAAGGTTTAATGTGAGTAAATCCACATCAGTCTCATTAGAAAAAGGAGCAGAGAGCCTCCCGGTTTGTCTCCCACTAGCGAACAGCCTCCATACCTGAGCCGAGGAGCAGCAGGAGCAGAGAGGAGAGCGCGAGGAGCCGCATCGTCCGCGGATCAGTAAGACTCCGCACGGGAGTCCGACAGACGGAGGCGCGCCAGCTCGGAGGTGCGGACACGGAGCAGCGGCGGGTAGCCTGGCATGGTGAGCCTGACGCCTCCCGCGCGCCTCCAACGCGCTTTTATCCTCCTTGCGCACGCACACAGGCGCGTGCACGGAGACACTGCGCACCACGTGGTAAAGAAACTTTAACCATGTACCTTCTCACTCTCCTCCTCCATCACCTCCTTTTCTTCTCCTCTGTTTACATTCTCCTAGTCTTCTCCTCCTGGTTCTTTCTTCCTTTCCTTCTTTTCCACCTAATTCTTCTTTTCCTCTTCTGGATCAAAGTTCTTCACCAGCCACTTCTCCTCCTCTTCCTTTTCCTAGTCATCTCTTGTCTCCTTCTTAGCTCCTGTCTCCTTCTCAGTCTCCTACTCCTCCTTTTTCTTCTTCACAAACTTCTCATCATCTTCGTATTCTTCAACTGTCCCTCCTCTTCCACCTCAGGAATAAAGTTCTGCTTCACCAGCTTCTTCTCATTGTTAGTACTATTCACAGTAGTAGTACTAGTAGTATGTGGATATTTTCTCACCTGTGTTCAGTCTCATTCATCACGGGAGTCAAACCTCGACTTACTGACATAAATAATTAAAGTTTTCACTCTTCCAGCTGCCTTAAATCCCTCTGATGGCTCCTAATAACAACAGCCTCATATTTATGGCTCATTATTAAACAGAAATGAGGCGATAAAGTGTCACAGATTTAGTGCTTTGACCTCCAAAGTCCCTACTCAGATTTATTAATCTCATGACTTATAGGAATCACTTCGCCAAAAGTTTTAGCTCCATTTCAGACTTTGACCCAGCAAATGATCCACAAACACTGGGTCAGAGGTCGGAGGTCACGGGTACAGTTTGTGGAAAGCTTCATTCAAACTATGATAAAATGGCACCATCGGGCCACGTGTTTGACACCACTAATCTTGGTACAATCATACATGAAGTTTTAAAATGGTCTGTAAGTTGTCTGAGCTCCTACAAACTGCTGCTGTTATTCACGTGTCATAAGATGGGAACAAACCCTGGATGATTAAACGTGCGAGCTCCAGTTTTTGTGAACAGACTGTAAAACTGTAAACGGAGGAGCTCTCCGGTTCAGTATTGGTCAGGCGAAGCAGCTTTCAGATGCTTTTCAAAGACAAATAAGCCTGTCTGCAGAACTCTGGGGTGGTAAAAACCGTCTGGATTTTCTTTTACAAATCCTACAGATGAATCAGTCTCCCGAGCGCCGTACATGGTGGGCTAATATTTCACATTTAGCTGAAACGTGGGTGAACTAGCCCTCGTATCAACCTGTCCACCGAGAGCACAGACCTGCACGGGGAGTAAGAGGATTTCAGTGCAGAACAAACCCAGATGAGGGCAAACTGCTGATCTGCAGCAAAGGCGGTCATGCTTTGTCACTGTTTCCGGGTCTCAGAGGAGGGAGGCTTCAATCCTTAGTCTAAACTCCAGCAGTTTCACTCAGGTTTGGTGCGATCAACCCGTTATAATCTGTGTCTGTGACGCATCGAGAGGCTGTTTGTGATTTACTGCGCTAATCTGCTTAATTGGAACTTGGATAATTGCACATTAAGACACAATTAAATGCTATGAATCCATTCTTTGGTCGAACTTCAAATTAGCTGACGGTCATTTAAGTTACGTTTTAAGGAATGAGAAGATTTACAGCGACGACCCAAGGAGGTTTTTACTCAGAAATGAGACGTCCAGGTAGATAATTAAAGTGAAACCTCTCCGGTGTGAGAGGGAGAGGCATAACGGGCAGCTGTTCAAGCTGTCGAAATGCTGAAAAATGGGTCCAAATTTCAAGAGGAGAAATTTTAAAAGCCATTAGTGGGTTACAGGGGCGACAGGCTAAGCAGAGCTACTCAGACTTTCATCTCACATGTTTTCTCCTCCAGGTTTGTGGTTGGTTTGTTCATTGAGCCCCTCGTCTTCAGACTAGCAGCAGTAAATTTCATCCACTATAGAGTTATCAAACAGGAAAACTACCCCCAAATCTCAAATCTGTTCTTTGTATTAGGCTTTAAACATGTTTATCATAACATAAGAGTCTATGGGGACGGAATCACTGCTGCAGCCTCAAGTGAATCTCAGAAGAACTGCAAGTTTTGGCACCCGAGCCATTTCAAATGCCACAGTGCGAGCTGAAGGTCATCGCTCGATGGAGCCAGCAGGACTGCATTCCCTCTGCTGCACCCAGGAACTCTGTCCCTAAACAGAATCAGTAAAAATGAGTTCAAATTCATCCACTTCTTGTACTTCACTAAATTTGAGGCATCAGCAGTAAGTTTAGCCAAGTGTGCTGCAGCTCTAGTTTCTCTTTATGGCAGCTTCCGAGTATCCTAACATGACTGATGGCACACTGGGAGCCATTATGCACCGAGCCTTTTAAAACAGCAACACTAATCAAAGATGACTGGCCATCGGATCAGGAAAAAAGATCCCTCGGCGTGCATGCAGAGTGTGGTCAGCATCTTAAGAGCACAAGAAAACAAAAAGTCCAAAATGAACCCAATTTGCCTGTGAAATATGAGACTTTTGTGTCTTTGGGAAATGTTATTAAACTGGTTGCTGTGCATCAAAAGGAAATCATTATGTCAAAAAAGAGGAAGACGCTGGGACATTCACTCTGACAGCTCAAACCGTGCAAGGTTACAAGAACCTTGATGCTTCCTGAGCTGCGGGAAGGTCCAATATTTTAAGTTTCTCTGTTGGCACCAGGCTCCATGCTTTATAGCTTCACATTCCCCCCACTCTGGATCTAATGGACCGCCCTTGACAGATGTGGTAACCGAGCAATGAGACACTAACACAAAATATTTCTCACGTGTTCATGTTTCAAAAGTAACGTGCTGAAGAAGTGTGAACGTAAACTGGGAACCTGCTCAAAATGACAAACAGACTTGACTAAGCCACAAATGCTGCAGTCACATGGACAGGATTTTAAATCCAGTCTGTTTGTTTCATAGTTCCAGCTCAGGCCAATCGCTGGGAAAACCCACAGCTTTTTCCTAAAACAATCACACAGTTAAATGAAAGAACAGGCTCAGAATCAGCTGGCACGGTTAAATCAAATATTCATGTTAAAAGACGGTGATTTTCTGATTTAGCAGTGTTGTGTTTTTAAGTTTCTGTTACTCTGGGTACATTCAAATAGTCCAAAAAATTATTCTCTGACTTCCTTTTCCTAACCACTTTTCCTTGATTCTGCTGGAAAATGTCATGAGGTCAAGGAAAAGTGTGAAGGACACTTGAGAAGTACTTAGGAAAGAGAATAATGGATTGGATTTATATAGCGCTTTTCAAGGCACCCAAAGCGCTTTACAATGCCACTATTCATTCACTCTCGCATTCACACACTGGTGGAGGCAAGCTACGGTTGTAGCCACAGCTGCCCTGGGGTAGACTGACAGAAGCGGGGCTGCCATATCGCGCCATCGGCCCCTCTGGCCAACACCAGTAGGCGGTAGGGTAAAGTGTCTTGCCCAAGGACACAACGACCAGGACAGAGAGCCCGGGGATCGAACAGGCTGTGCCTGCATTTAAACTTGACTTGACTCTTAAAAAATGGACTACAAAACAACATGCTAATGTGTTCTTACTCTGCTGTTTCAAAGGTTGGAAGTTTTGAGAAGAAAAAGGAACATTTTTTGATTACATTTTTACATTTATTTTAACAAGTTTAGCTGTTTAATACGTTTTGTAGCTTTAAAGGTTTTCCTGCAAATAAAGATGTCCACCATGGCCATTCATGCTACACCAAAGCAATTAACTAATTAAATTATAGAAATCTTCCTGTTTTTTGTTTCTTTTGTGTGTGTGGTTATTTTTTTTACAATGGGTTCACACAGAAATTGATATTTTACAGGACAGTCTGAGCAATGAGCTACTGGAAACCTTTCTGTAATTTATCTGTAAATATTTCTTAGATTTATAGCTCAAAGAGTCATGTGGACAGATTCCTTTCTTTTAGTTCAACATGCAGAAAAATACCGGAAGCCACCAGTGCTCAACCTCCTAATAGATAAATCTATGATATCAATTTTAAAATCCTTTGTCACTTTGTTCTCAAGTTATTGCATTCGCAAGACTTTTAGAAAGCTTGCCCTCTGAGGTCACTGAGATTCAAACTCATCTGAGATTTTTTGCAGATACTCGTATGGCACCAATTTAAGAAGACTGGTTATTCTACAGAAATGTCCAATTTTGGAATGCCAAGATATTTTTTCATTAATTTTATTTTTCTTCCTTTTTACATCTGTCACATGCACCGCCTTTTTGTCACTGGTGTTACTCCTTTGGCAACTTTAAAGGCTTTTATGAAATATTATTTCCTCAATCTCATCAGCACATGTGGTCAGAGCCACAGAAGAATAATGGTGCAACACATCAGGAGATTATCAACCAGGATCTGATTATATGATGTTCATTTATTTGCTATAATAATTAAAACATTTGAAAAACGTTAAAAATGAGTAATGACATCACATCACAACCCTTAAGTGTGACAAAATTCAATGTAAAATTATTAACACCTTTAATATGACACATTTTACTGCCACATCCTCTGCAAAGACAGAGACAGCACATCGGCACCAGAAAGCAGCGTTTTGCTACTTAGTTTAAGGTTATTTAGTTCCCTTGAGTACTTTAACCTCATTAGTGTTTTATTGTTTACTTTTGGTAGTTTGAAATTTACTTTTATTTTTTAAAACCTCACATTAACAGCAGTGACAAAATGACACAATAAAATATTAGTATTCTATGTTTAAAACTGTACGTAAGCGAAGCACTTGTGTAAGTAAATGTACTACCATACTTGGTTGTGGCAATGGGAGGGTCGGTGCCACCCCCAGCACCCCACTCTAGACTCACCCCTGATACTTTATAGTTATACTTTTGCAGATTTCTGCAGATTTCCACTGCTGTGAACAAGATTCCTATAATAGCTCTTTCCAAGACTCAGGATGTCCTCACCTGGTTGGAGGAAAACTAAAAATGTGTGATTAAAAGCATGAAAACTGGACAGA